CGCCGGGGCCGTCCTGCCGGCGGGCCGGAGGAGCCGGCTGAGTCAGCCGGGCCTGCCCCCTGCTGGGCCGCCAGTCGGACGTCCAGGTGGGCTGCAGGCAGACAAGGCTCTTTGGGTAAATGGGAGCTCTTTTCCAATACTTCGAGAACTTGTTCTTTGCAAGGTTTCGGGCACAATTAATCACCCTTCTTCAGGCAGAGGCTGCCGGTGTTTTGTGCTCTCCCGGCTGGGATGGAAGCCAGTCCGCCGCGCAAGTGCGAGTGCAAACGCGCTGTGGACAGGCTGGCCTTAGCGGGACGGTCCGAGCCTGGTGCTCCGCCGGCCTCAGCCTGCCTCGGGGGCATCCGTTGCAGGACAAAGCGGGACCAGACAACAGTGCAACGGGACTACATAGGAATGGAAAGAGCTGGCTGAGCACAACCGGGCTGTAAAGGTAGCTAACAGCATCAGGTAGCTCTCGCCCGGGTTGAAAGCGGCTCTCACCTTCACTGCGTCTTTATAAGGACCTGAACAAAGGTGTCGTTGTCACTTCCCATTACTATTTGCCATTAGGGCATTCACTGAGTCTATGCTCTTTGAGTATAGCGGGCCAGTGGCAAAAAATCTTTTTTGTGAGTCTCTCTGCTGCCTCAGGAGGACTTTATAGGTATTTATGGCAAAGGGGAAGTTGAGGGGGATTTGATAGGGACTTATTATTTACTCTCTCCTGATAGAAGAAGTAGGGGACACAAAATGAAGCTAGTAGGTAGTAAGTTTTAAAACTAACAAAAGGAAGTTTTTTCACACCATGTGTGATTGAAGCGTGGAATTTGTTGCCCCTAGATGTTGTCAGCAGTTTAGCTAACAGTTTAGCCAGGTTCAGAAAGGGATTGGACAAATTCCTGGAGGAAAGGGGCATCAGTACTAGGTAGGGCCGGATTAACCCTTGAGTGGGCCCTAGGCAAACAAACTCATGGGCTCCCAGGTGAAGATGAAATTTTTATGTTACTTTTTCACTCAGTAATTATAATATGTAAAATAAGCACAACTGGGCCCCTTCTTCACTTAGGGCCCTAGGCATGTGCCAGTTTGCCTATGCATTAATCCGGCTCTGGTACTAAGTATTGAGCCTGAGAGTTAGGGATACAGCCTCTGACTCAGAACTTCCTAGACCTTAAATGCTGGAGATTGCAAGTGGGAGAGGAACAGTGGAGAAAAACCCTGGTCATACTCAGTTCACTCTCCCTTTCAATATCCACTCTCTGCCACTGTGTGACACAGGATACTGGGGGACACGGACCATGATCTGACACAGTAAATGGCAATTCTTCTGCTCTTATTTACAGTAGACTCTTCCCACTCCCTCCCTTCTTCTTGGTTCTGTTCACACAAAGCAAGAGACAGCCCTTGCCTTGAAAAACGTAGAAACCACATAGACAGCAGGACTATAGTAACAAGTAGGCTGACCCATGTGATGTTTTGTGGGTGTTGTCAGACTCTGACCATCCTTTTTTGATTTTGGCAAGGGGGTTTTTTGGGTGCAGTTTTGTTAGTTGGGGATTAACCAAACAAGGAAGATGAGGGAGGTAAGTGAGGAAGAGAGGAAAACAGAAGAGCTGAGTATGGAGGGCAGTAGGAGTTGGCTGATATGAAGAGACATGGTGGAGGGGTGAGGACTGGAACAAGCAGCCAGTCAGCAGATGGGGAAAGAATGCTGAAAATTAAAACTGTAGTTGAGTATCCTGACCTCATCTGTCTTCGAAGTTTCCTATTGCAGCTGCTTCTGTCCCTGCTCTGCTAGGTCTGTCCAACTCCGCTCCTCCCTGGACTGACTCACCAGAACTCGCATGCCTGGGGTGAGTTGGAATTGCATGAGTCTGCACTGCACAGTTCAGGGTCCAGAGATGGAGCAGGACACAAGAGGAGGTAGTCCTAGCCAAATTGTACTTTCCTGTCTCCCAAACATTCTGTTTATGCTGTTAAATGCCATATTGTCTCATATACAACATGCATCTTCCCCCCCCCAAAACAAGCTGCTGAAAATTGCAGTGTGCATTTATATGTGAGAAATATAGTAGAGAGCAGTTTCTGACTTACCAGGTGAAAAGCAATATTAACATTTGAAGGAGAATCATTGGGAGCAGAACAATTGCCAAGCTCAGCTCTGTAAGCAGCTGCTACTCAGGCCCCTGGTAGATGTTACACTTAAGACATGATTAACTCGTTAATCACGCCTTAAGTGGTAGCCTGGCCACACATTCAAGCAATTAATGGCATGATAAGGAAAATAAGATACAAAATTATTATTCATCATTAGGGATCTACTCAATTTGCAGTTTTGCAATTCTTGTGGAAACTGCAACTATGATAACTGCAAAAATTGGTGTTCCCCACAATTTTCATAGATTTCATAAACATTCGGGCTGGAAGGGACCCGGAGGATCATTGAGTCCAGCCCCCTGCCCCAGGGGCAGGAAGTCAGCAGGGATCATAGGATCCCAGCAAGATAAGCATCCAAATGTGTCTTGAAGGCATTCAAAGTAGGTGCTTGAACCACCTCCGGCAGCAGTCTATTCCAGACCTCGGGGGCTCAGACAGTAAAGAAGTTCTTCCTTATGTCCAGCCTGAAACAGTTGCAGAGGAGTTTGTGACCATTTGATCTTGTCATCCCTTGGGGCGCTCTGGTGAACAGACGTTCCCCCAGATCCTGGTGAACACCCCTAATAAACTTATAGGTGGCCAGATCACCCCAGAGCCTGCGCTTTTCCAGACTGAAGAGTCCCATGGCTCTCAGCCTGTCTTCATAAGGTCTGTTTTCCTGACCTCTGATCATGCGTGTGGCTCTTCTCTGCACCCTCTCAAGCTTCTCCACATCCTTTTTGAATTGTGGAGCCCAAAACTGGATGCAATACTCCAGCTGCAGCCTCACCAAGGCCGAGTACAACGGGAGAATGACGTCCCGGGATTTGCTTGAGAAGCATCCATAGATGCAAGCCAGCGTTTTCCTCACTTTACTAGCCACAGCATCACACTGAAGGCTCATGTTCATCTTGTGGTCTGTCACGACCCCCAAGTCCCTTTCATCTGTAGTGCTAACCAGCATAGCACTGCTGAGCCTATAAGCATGCTGCAGGTGTTTCCTCCCAAGGTGGAGAACCTTGCACTTTTCAGTGTTAAACACCATCAGGTTCTCATTCACCCACTTCATGAGCCTGTCAAGATCTGCCTGGATCACCCTTCTGTCCTCAGGTGTGGATGCTTTACCCCAGAGTTTGGTGTCATCGACGAACTTAGCGAGCCTGCTTCTGACACCAATGTCTACATCATTGATGAAGATGTTAAAAAGTAAAGGCCCTAGGACAGAGCCACGAGGGACCCCACTGGTCACTGGGTACCACGACTGACTTCCGTCAACCCACCACCCTCTGGGTCCTACCGCAGAGCCAATTCCTGAGCCAGTGGATCGTGGTGAGGTTGAGGCCGCATTTGGCCAGTTTTGCCAAGAGTTGATCATGGGATACCAGATCGAAGGCTTTTTTAAAGTCAAGACATATGACATCAATCTCTTCCCCCTTGTCCAGGTGATAGGTCACCTGGTTGTAAAAGGAAATGAGATTGGTCAAGCAAGACCTACCCGCTACAAACCCGTGCTGGGTATCCCTCAGGATACTGCCGTCAGCTAGCTTGTATAGGATGGCCTCTTTGATAATCTTTTCCAAGACCTTCCCAAGGATAGAGGTCAGGCTGATGGGTCTGTAGTTTGCCAGATCCACTTTCCTCCCTTTTTTTGAAGATAGGCACCACATTGGCCTTCTTCCAGTCGTCGGGCACTTCACCAGAGCGCCAGGAGTTCTCAAAGATCCGTGCCAGGGGCTGAGCTATGATGCCTGCCAGCTCTTCGAGTACCCTTGGGTGTAAACAGTCAGGGCTGGCTGACTTGAAGGTATCCAGCCTGTCAAGGTGTTCCTTCACGAGGTCAGCTTTGATGGATGGTAAGGAATCTCCCTCACCCGGGCCTCCCTGTCCCGCAGTGGGCAGGGGCGTCCCGTGGGACTGGTGAAAAACTGACGCAAAGTACCCATTTAGCAAGTTTGCTTTTTCCTGGGCATCAGTTGTCCCATCTGGTTTAGCAGGGGTCCAATGTTGCCCTTGTTTTTCCTCCGGATCCCCACATATCTAAGAAAGGACTTTTTATTGTCCTTGATACTTGTAGCTAGCTGGAGTTCCGTCGCAGCCTTGGCTTTCCTGGTTTGCTCTCTGCAGGTCCGGACCAGAACAGAGTATTCCTCCTTGGTGGTGAATCCAGTCCTCCATCCTTTGTACGTCTTTCTTTTAAGACGCAGGAGGTCCGCTAGTTCCCTGGAGAGCCAAGAGGGCTGCTGTGCCCTTTTGCTGCCTTTCCTCCGAGACGGGCTAGACTTTGCTTGTGCATCCAGGAGCAATCACTCGTCATGAACTCCCCTCCCCTTTGGGTGGATTCCATTTTGCATGGAATCACCAAAAAACCCCAACTTATTAAAAATGAAATGCTTAAATTAAACATTAAAAAAAAAGTTGATGGTTTTTACTTACCTTTTGTGCCCTCTGTGTATTTTAAGTAGATCCCTACCCATAATATGCATAATGCATGTAATTTTGTTGTTGGTTACCATCATACCTTAATTGAACATGTGGTTGGTAGGCTTCTGGAACTAGGAATGCCAGTCAGCTGATTGTCACTCCCAGCCCTGGGAGCGTACCAGAGCCTTTCAAGACTGGTGTGCTTTCAGTGCTGGGAGCACTGGGCACCCACCTTGCTACTTGCCAGTGCAGGGGGTGCCTGGGATTATGATCTCAGGCTCCCTCTGCCCTGTCAAAAGGTATGATTGGGGTCTGATTCCCAATCCCACAGTCGCACCTTCTGCCATGCATGTATAGCATAGCAGGAGGTGTGATGGTTGGGATCACGGATCAGACCCAATCGCACCTTTAAATAAACATTTGTCAGTGGTCTCAGTTTCATAGATGTTAGGGGCTGGAAGGATCATTGGGTCCAGCCCCCCTGCTTGTGGGCAGGAAAGACTGCTGGGATCAAATGATCCCAGCAAAATGGGTGTCAAGTTACTTTCTACAAAAGAAAAGATTTTTTTTTTCATTCTGCCCTTCAAAAAGGAGGTTAACACTTTATTCCACGGAGCATATGAGAGAAAATATGGTATTTTTGTTTAAAAGAAATTGTTAATATGTGAAGGCAAAACTTGCTTTCAAATAATTTGGGGCCAACATTGGACCCATACTGACATTGCATTCCTAAAGGCTCTGGGGCATTACTGTACAGTTTTGTGCACATAACTCCTGCAGGTGTGAGACAGCGTCCTGAATGCAGGTTCATTGCAGATTATGGTTGTCAAATCCACATCACTCAATTTTTTTAAACCTGCCATTTAGTACTTAACCTCCAATACCTATGTTTGAGCGCTGTGGTCTGCCTTGCTCTAGGCAACTCTGTGTTTCTGCCCCCTAAAAAAGTGTGTGTTGACTGTAGCTCCACAAGAAAAGTTTGCTAATTTATAAGGAAAAATGTTTCTACATAAGTATTACAAACACTGGAGGGAAAAGTGAAAATTAACTAATTTTAAGCTGACTGAAAAGTAGTCTTTTATATTTTTCTTGTCTCCTTACTCTTAGGTTCTGAGAACTTACACTAACTGCACAAAAAGATGCTATATGTTTTTTTTTTTCTATTAACAAAATAACCATTGCTTTGGACCTGTCTCTGGTACTTCATTTACAGCAAATGCAACTGCCAGTGCTAATATATTCACTTACGTGTTTGAGAGGTATGTGACACTGCAGTTTCTTTATAAACAATTGTTCACTTGGGCAAAGCAAGCAGTCTTGCTTTCTTAAGCATCAGAATTAATAAGCAAGTTATGAAATAAATTTTGTGTTTTTTCAGTATAACGGGATGTGTTTACAAGGACCTGGCGGTGTTCCTGGACGGGATGGGAGCCCTGGAATCAATGGAATCCCGGGGACACCTGGAATCCCTGGTCGAGACGGGCTCAAAGGAGAAAAAGGAGAGTGTATGCGAGAAAGCATTGAGGAGTCTTGGACGCCCAACTTCAAACAGTGTTCATGGAGCGCATTGAACTATGGCATAGACCTTGGGAAAATAGCAGTAAGTTAGTCCCATAAGGAACCTTATGTTCTTACATTCAGGAGCACCACAGCACATGGTGAAGATGCATGTCTATAGAGATGCATTTAAAACACATATTTCCAGTGAGAACTTCCTTTTGTTCTTGTGAGTGGTCCCATTTACAGATTTAGTTTAGGCACCTGTATTATTCATTTCTGTATAGACAACTAGGCACCTGTATTACTCATTTCTGTGATAGTTTTAGGTGAAAGACTGAGGTGGTCTGATGGTACATGCAGCAGACCTTGGTTGAGGTGGTCTCATGGTATATTCAGCAGAAGGTAGGGTCGGCACCCCTTTCTGAAGCAGGAGGCTGGAAGCTGAGCTATGGCAAAGCAGTATGTAAACAGGCTGAGGTTTTCAGCCTGTGCTACAGAACTGACCCCTGGGAGAGGTTTGAGGTTGAAATAAAGCTTGGACGCACAAAATGACTTTGTTAGTGTAGTCTTTGAGGCAACACAGTTGTTGGGCAATACTGCAGAGTCAACTAGACATAGCCTATTTTGCCAATTTCTCAGGCTGGAAATGGGTGCAAGCCTTTAATGATGAAATTTTAAAATAAGAAAACACAAAACAGTTTGTAGCAAGAGTGCCCTACAAGCAAACAAAAATCCTAGCCTCAGAACAACTAGGTGAAATGGCTGCTATGTTACAAGAACCACCCCTAAAGTAACAAGTAGTATTTACTTCAGAATGGCCTATGGGTTGAAGCTCTTTAGCACTTTATGGGAAAAGCAGCATGTTTTAGGAAAGAGAAAAATTTCTTATCCAACTTTGTAACGTGCATCAGAATTAATAGAACTTTATGGTTTTTACTGATTTTGTGATTGCTAAATCCAAGGTGCCTACTAAGGAGAACTCAACAATGTTATATCGGGAGTTAGAAGTCGTTTGGATATACTTACCTTGCTTAGAACCACAGTAATATAGAACAGCACCTTTCTACCAACTTTTCCTGGCTGCTAGTTGGTGTGGCCTGTGGACTGTCTTGAGGGAGCTGATAACATCATTAATATTTGCAAGGAAGGGAAAGTGCTTGAGGTCCAGAAAACATAGAAAGATATTTAAATACCTAACATTCTAGCACGTTCCTTACCCTCTTTGGTGTTTGAAATACAGATGAGAATTTTGTTGTGGCATGCCTCCCCCTCCCCCCTTTTTCCTTTTTTTTAGTGAATGGGGGAGAGGGTGGTTAGTGTATTCCCAAACTAGTTAGTAGAAATCGGTTTAGAAATTAATGCAGTGCAGTAGCCAACAATTTCCCTCTCTTCTCCTATTAGGAATGCACGTTCACAAAGATGCGTTCTAACAGCGCACTGCGAGTTCTCTTCAGTGGCTCACTTCGACTCAAATGTAAAAGTGCCTGCTGCCAGCGCTGGTATTTTACGTTTAATGGCGCTGAATGCTCTGGGCCACTTCCTATTGAAGCTATAATTTATTTAGATCAAGGAAGCCCCGAGTTGAATTCTACTATTAATATACATCGTACTTCTTCAGGTATGTATGTCAAGGCTATGTGAGTAGGGATAGATTGAAAAAAGAGTCTCTGAGCACAGTGGGAATCCTATAGAAAGGTGCACATTAGAAACCTGAAGGCCCCTGAAGGGGAAGCAGAGGTTCCTGGACTATTAAATACAGCACTTGCATTAATTTTGTTGTGGGTTTGGCTTTACAATTGAGTTCCATTTTTACTGTGGTACTTGCTTTAGTCAGACTTCATATCCTAGAAGTTATAAACATAAGAGAATGACCTCTAATCAAATCGACTGACCTTTGACATACCTGCAACTGTTTTAAATTACTGTAACGGGGCATACTGTATGAAGCCAGCAGCTCATCTCTTTGTGGAGAAAGACATTGCTTTCCTTTAAACAGTACGGCTGCTTGCATATGTTTAAACAAAATTTTTAAAAAGCAGCAAAATATGTGTTTTACCAGAAGCAACAATGTTACTTGGACCGGGCTCTATAGCATCTGTATAGATTGGATGCATTAGCAGGGTTTTTGACATTTTTTATCTAAAGCTGAGTCAGTTGGCTGTTAGATAAAAACACCAAAATGCCCTCCTCCAGCTTCTGATCTGTGTAGACACTGGGCAACTCAGGTCCAACTAAGGCACTGCGCCTCTTCTGGACATGCATGGGGCTTGGTGTGGGAGCGCGCCAAGTTAAATTCAAGTGCAGTTTTTTTGTGTTTAACATCTGCAAGCACTGTATTTCTTCAGTAACAAAAGTGGCGAGACCCTTTCTGTATAACCATCATGGACTGTTTTGGAAGGGGTTCATTACCACTATTTAGTTATCTCTGATTGCTGCTGCCAGTGTAGTGGAGACTGACAAAAGTGGAACGGTCATGCACGATTCAAAAGCCTACTTCCTATAGCAGTATCATTAAAAGATTAAAAGACTATTTTGCTACATCTATTTTCTGTTGAGGCCAAGATATACTGTGATGGGCTTTTACCTTTTTAGAGAATTACCCAGTTAAACATAGAAGTGAATAAAATTTTAACACTGGCAATATAGCACCCCTAACTTCAGATAGCTATGGTAAACTGCTGGTCTTTGATTTAAAAGTTAAGGGAATATTAGGCAATATTACGTTGGTTGAAATAATGTTTTCTCTTTAAACAGTGGAAGGATTATGTGAAGGAATCAATGCTGGGTTGGTGGATGTTGCTATCTGGGTTGGTACTTGTTCAGATTATCCAAGAGGAGATGCTTCTACAGGATGGAATTCAGTCTCTCGTATCATAATTGAAGAGATGCCAAAATAGATTTTCTTCCAACACCTATTTTAATCCATCATCTCCAAGACTTTATCAGATTTTTGACATATATTACATACAATTTACTTTGAAAGTGATTATTTCTATAATTTCGATAGCTATTGAACAGAAGGCACAGGTTTGCTTAAGTTTAACACAAGTTCTTATGATAGCGTTTTAGCGCACAAATATCGGAAAGAAGCTTATTAAAGTTTTTTAATTCATTTGTCAAATTTAGTTATGGATATGTATCACTTTTTTGTAATAGCTGAAATTACAGCTTTTTATATCTTAAATAAACACACTTTTACAAAACAAACAGGATATTTTATTGTCAGTAGAACGCAAAGAGTTTTTCAATGGCTATGACAACAAGTGCATCAGTATATACAATTTGTGATATTCAGAATTTTATAGGAAGATCTGGACACAACACTAAACTTTAGCCTTCATTTCAGATTTCAAGTGCACTACTTATCCTATACTATCTACAACCTTACTACACTTCCGAGCCAATGTCCACTGACTTCAGTGAGAACTTGCTCAGGGACAATTTTAACAGATAAAGTTCGGCAGACCTTCAAACTCTTTTCCTGCTCCATTCAGTAAGTTGTTAAGAGGTTGTTGGCACCCCCTGTTTTCAGTATAGTATTTGAGAATAATGAATGTGCAGACAGTAATAGTAAATAATTTTACTGCTATAAACTAGTAAGTAATTTTAGTGTTATTTCAGTTTATCAACTAACTTGGATAAGAGGCACAAAATTATTACATAAATACTTGCATTGCAAGGAAAGACGACAATAGCTATTTAAGGATAGGCTCAAATGCTTTGAGCTTTATGGCCTTCAGGAAAGTGTGCAAAATAATTGTTAAAAACTAAATCTCATTTAAAAAACTTTGCAATCAATCAGTCTCTCAAGACTAGATAATAAATTATCATACCGACCATTCAACAACTCACAGCCATGTAAAACATGCTAAACAGTCACTCCAACAGTGCAATGTATCCAATGATAGTACCAAATAAATAATTTCTTTGTTTTAATTATTACAAAATATTTAGGAAGGAAAATTGCTTGGAACATGAAAGCCAGTTCTATACTAAAGACATAAGAAATCAAAGGAAATTACAAAAGCATGTATAACATGCAAAAATGTAACAGCTGCATCTCTCAGATCTTTTTTAAATGCCCATGTCAGTCTGTCAAGTTATACAATATTTGCTTTTCAGACTGCCCCTGCATCTCTTCAATTCCCAGCTCCTAGTTTCAGTTTTGTTCCAACCCACTTAAACCAAGGGCAGCTAAGTTTTAATTCTTGGAAGCAATGGATGTGATGCTGCTGAGCACTAGCAAGTTATGAAGCTGGCATTTTTCTCCCAAGAAGTTTGTCCTTGGTCCATTTTCAATGTTGTGATTGGTAGATTTCAGAGTAGTTCTAAGCCTTGCGCTGAATGATTAATAGCTCAATGCCCTATTCAGTCAGTTGTACATGCTAGCACATAGCTTTTTAAAAAAACCACAAACACACCTTCTTAAGGCACAAGTTAACACCTATTAAAGAGTAATTAGTTAATATAGTAATTCACCTGGTAACCTTTCAAGTACACATGAAAGGTAAATATAGAAATAAACATGATGAAGCCAGTAGACCCCATCTCTCATCATTTTCAAAATGAAGTTCAGTTAAGTGTGTGTGTGTGTATAAAAGAATTAAACATTACTGAAGAAAATATTCCCCTTCTACTGCAAAGGAGCTCTTTGGATGGCTCGCTTAAGTATTTTAAATTAATTTTTGTTTCCTAAATTCCAGACTTGTAAGCTAAAACTAGTTCTGTATGTGTAAACTAAATCTTACTCAGATCAGTCATGGGTTCCTCATAGATTATCCCATTATTGCATAGCAAACTTGCCAAGTTTCTTCAGGAACAGAGACTGCATGTCAGCTGTCTGGCTTGCAGAGATCATCTAACCTACATTCTGCATAAGTGTTGCTCAGAGATTTATTAGTTCCTGTCTCCCTCAGTTAACTGATATTTTACACAAAACCACTGAATGTCTTATGGCACTAGTTAGAAGCCTGATTATTACTAGTGTAGATTTCCAGATGCATAATTAAGAAAAACAGACCACTGAAAAACATTTCCCTTGAAGAGTGTGTTCCCTTGCTATTTTTACAGATGAATTTCTATGAAATGTACTTTCATCCATTTATTGGGCAAAGGGCTGCAACAGATTAGAAAAGGGATACATGACACCTGGTCTGTGCAGCTTGTGCCCCTGCCCAGTTCCAGGTGAGGAGCTCCACCTGTGCTGCTTCTCCTTGCCTTCTCAGCTGTACTCAGATATGGGCCAAATGGTTTCAGCAGCCTGTTTGCAGCTGGGGGCTTTGCCTACAAAAGGGGGCTTGGCAGCTGGGAGCTGCACCTGCACTGCCACTTCCCCTGGCCTCCTGCTCCCTGGCATGGGTACAGGGAAAGCCCTGTCCCCAGAGGCAGCCCCAAAAGCCACCTAGCCTGTGCCAGACTGGAGGCTAGTTGTTCTGGCCCACAGCTTACAGAAGGTTGCTGGCTCCTGGGTGAGAACAATCATTCCCTTAAATTGTAAAAGAGAAAGCATCTGTTGTTTTATTCTTAAATAAAAAAAGCCTTCCCCTGTTCAAGCTAGTTTTGAGACCACATAGGGACATGTATACTCTACTAAGCTGTCAGACCATAATGCTCAAAAGAAAGATGATCTGCACTGAAAAAGCCATACTCCATATTGGAAAAATGCAATTTACAAAAATAAGCACCAAGTTTTGTTTTTTAAAATTAAGTCCATCTAAACATCCATGTATTAGCTCATCCCAGAGTTCAAATGTAATGCATTAACAAAGATAGGAAGAAAAAGTGGGGTAGATGGCCAGTGACAGATTAAAATGACTTTGGTCTGATGCAGTAGAAATGCCCCATTTTGCAAGATACTGTGGGTGTTATCCTAAAGCTGGGACTTCAGCAGATTATGAAACATGCAGAGTAGATAGCATGCCCCTCCCACTACGCTGTACTGGAGAAAACTGAATCTCTGCCTTTTTATACTGTACCTTGCTGCAGTGGAGGACACTGGCTTGGGACATTCTAAGCAATGAAACTTATCTGTGCAATTTGTCAGGATTTAGGAGATCCTGAATTTCACTGAGAAGTGTATATACAATTTCACAAGGAGACAGCAGACAGAGGACCTGCACTAGCAGATTTGAAAGCCATCAAAATTTTGACACTACACTGTGGACACCAGCAGTTTCATTAGAGCGAAGTAGAAGTTAGCTCCCTTTCCTTTTTTGAGGGATCAGTTCAAAGGATTGAGATAATCAGAGCTGTTGCAAGACTGTTTTTATCCAGCCACCATGTTATTTCAGTTCCACTCAGAGGTTGATTCACAGAGAAGAGGTAAATGGAGTGATCTGGGGACAGACACTGCCACACAAGACAAGGAAGCCAGAGCTGCCGTCTCCAAATTCTCTCATCAAATCACTAGATCAATCCACAAGCAAGACAGATTTGTGTACAATATTTGCCCTAGATGAAAAAACACTTTAAAACAAAAGATGATAATTTTTTCTTGATGCAAACGCCTACCTTTAATTATTTTCCTTTTTTAAACCAAGCAAAAAACTAGATACATGTTCATACATTGCAAAGGTAATACAACAGGCAGGAGTCACTCTGATCACATTGGGAACAATTCCTTTATAAAATCCTTGAACTCCTTCTTTCCTTCAAAGACAAAAAAAGTATATTTACTTTTACCATAAAGAAGAAGAGTAAAACAAATACAGAACCTCAGGATATCTTTGCTTTATGTATTTTAGAGCCACTTTAGATTAAAGCTATATTTCCAGATTTATGGATCTTTATATTCTTTAAGGTGAAAGAATGAAATTTTGGAAAAACCTCACTCTTTTCATTGACCTGTAAAACTTTCTGTGCAGATGTCATTTATTGCACTCTTCTCTCCCTGTATTTTTAGATACAAAATAGCCCATTGAGTTCCTGCCTGCTTTTGCAGCATGCTACAAAGAACGTATGCAGCTCTGAATCCAGACAACATCCTTATTCTAGAAAATTTAATACATGCTAACTCCTATCCTAAACTGATAACGCTTAAGGGCTTTGCTGAACTGAGGCATTAACAGCTGCGAGGAGACTGAGGGGCAATAGTTCTGTTTAGTGAGCTGTAGTTGATGCTTTCTTTCCCCCACTATAAAAGATTATCACGTCCAGACTCTTCTGGTCTCACTGGCCAATAACTAAGTACCTCCAGCTATTCCCACCTGCAGATACACCACCTATGTTAATGCTGTAGAAATTCAGAGAGCCCATTTAATGCAAGAGGCACTTTTGTGACTAATTCTGAGACAGATTTTACATTAGAGTATATGGGGCTTAGTTTCTCACCTTTTTATGCAATACAAGTCAATAACAGGTTTGTCAGGCTAAATTATGTGTTCACTTATCCCCATCTTTTGTCTTCACATGTAACCCTCAAATGAAACCCATAAAACTCCAGAATTGAGTGGCTTTGTACAGCTGTAATCTAATATAGTTCTAGCTAGGTTGGTTTTGCAGGACTAAGAAAAATGCAGTAGCAGGAAACCCCTCATCACCAGAAGCCAGCAGATACAGCTTTGACTACACAGGGTGGTTTCATTTACAGCGGAACCGTGCTTTTATTTCTACAAGCTTACCTCCATGTCCTGCGGATAACATCAACCACTCCAGAGTACGTATTGTGCTGATCCTGAAGACGAGCTCGTACTACTTGATATGGATATGTTGCTGACACAGCAAATATTTTGGATAGCGCTGCCATTGTAATGTATTCTGCAGTGTTCTAAAATAAAAATTACTAAATTTAGGTTAAATCAAGTTACAGACAACAAAATAAGATGCTGGGAAATATCAAACTGCTTTTGAAAGTCTGAGCTAAACAATACCCTGTTTTTTCCTCCCTAAGATACATATATACGCTGTAACAAAATTTACTTATTACACATTAAT